TCAGAATTCCCCAGCCAATGGGAGTTGGTCCACACATCTTCAACTCGCCAAGGTTGAGAAACCCTGCTCTAGATCTTTCATCTGATTAAGGTGATCAATCAAGTCTAGCTGCGTTTTCCCTAGAATAGGCAATTACTGAAAAATCAGCCTCCCAAAGGGCTGCAAGATGAATTTGAGGGATCCTGAGAGAATGAATAAATAAAAGGGATGAAGGGGGTAATAGGGCAAAGTATTATGATTTGCCTCCAGAAAGATCTGAAATTTGGCCATTCACTGCTGAATTTTGGCCTCATAATCTAGGAGGCTGCCTGTGGTCCACAGGTCTTCATCCATCCTTGCCCAAAAAAACTGGGGAAGTTTCTACACCCAGTCTTGTCACCAGACCCAAGTGGTCATTGTGGATGTAGCACTCTTTATCACCTTCATTTGTGGCTCCAACTGGTGATGTTTGGAATTGAACACAGACATGTCTATTATGCAGGAGTGATATTCAAAAATGCTTGGAAACTACCATTAATTAAAAAGTCAAGTGCTCACTCGAAAAACCTCTTTGCTCCTGAATTTTTAAGAAGTAGATGTTTCAGTGTTTTCTTTTGTTGCTTAATCAATGGTATTTTGCATGTTATCATTCTGAAAAGTACTTCTTCCTCCTACTTACTGAAGAATGGTTAAAAAAACATTATTATATGCGTATGTCCACATATGTCACAGTTATGCGTAATATATACAAATATAACAAAAATAAAATGCTAACACGCAGAGTTTAAGAACAATCATATTCTTCTTCCCTTGTGAGTTCTATTAAGCTACGATCACATCAAAGTTGAGTTTATATGAGACAATGACTCACCAAAGAACTAAGGAATAGTATAGACAACTGCCTGATCTGATGCTAAGTTTAAGTCAATACTGGTTGCTGATTGGAAGAGATCATTACTATCTTTAAAGCCCAGCATGGTCTGTATCATCTGAAGACCATCTGAACATCTGCTCAGGTTCCCTTCTATGGATGCTAGGTATTTCTGCTCCAAGAGGCTTACTCCCATATAAGTAGGTAATAAATTGGTTTTTAAAACTGAGTTCTTTAAAACATTTGTTGGTATAGAAAATATGCTATTATTTCTTTTGCCCTTTCCTTTTTCTCCTCCCCCATATCTTACTTTCTTTCTTTGTATAGTTCTATTAAAGCAATAAAGAGTTTGAAAAGAATTTTAAAAAAGAATTCTAGTCTTAGTTGCACAAAACCAAACCATTTTAAGAGACATTACATGCTACGGTAGTACTGTAATATACCTGCAGTTTCCTACCAAGAAAATTTACAAAATAAGTTTGCATAATTAAAACACTACAGATAGCAGACAAAGTTAACAGTGAATGACTGTTAAACAGTGACTCTCGGTTTCTAATATTTTTCCATTTAAGATCACTCCATCCCTTCTGTCATTATTTTAAAAGTCTATACAAATATGATTGTACATGCTTTAACCTATGCATGCTTGTGGTCAAACTTCCTTCTGCGCACACTTTTGCCAATAATGGTTTTTGGACCATCAAAATAGATGTACTTCCCCTAGTGACCCCTTGCAACCATGAATGTACATTTTGAATAGCTTATCTTCCAAAACACCTGAATGACTGAAGTTCAGATGTTTGATTTAGAGAGGAGAATTAAGTGTTTTTAATTGTTGTTAGATGCCCAGAGTCATGAATTTGAGATGGGCGATTATATAAATTGAGAAACAAATAAAGCAATTAGGAAAAGAAAATGGTAGTAGTAAACAGATAAAATCAATACTGTTTCCTTCATCATGGATAACCAAGGAGGGAAAAAACCAATATATGGGTGAATGAGATTATGGATTAGCCAAACAAGTGACATTACCCAAATCCCCATAATCCATTTGCTTGAGGAGTGGAAAGTGGATGCCCGACTCTGCCTAAAAGAAGGGGCAAAAATTATTCCGGGAAGTTTATTGCAGAATATTAACTGCAAGTCTCATTCATTACCCTCTTCACACAACACACCCTGAATTCACTGAGCTAACAACAGCTCAATGTCCAAGAGACAGTCCTTTCACGCTTCAGACTCAGATCTGAATTTTTTGGGCTCTCTTCTTATTCACAGCAATCAAAGGATGAATTTGATGAATCCTAAAAACCAAAGTTGAAAAAACTCAAAGTACCTATCAGTTTACTGTCCTTTAGCAACTCACAGGACTAAAGACCTACTCTTCCACGATTCATTGAGAAGGCAAGGCTTGGGTGCAAATGATGCTTTCTGTGGGACCCCACAAGTGTGCCAAGCAGAAGAGCAGATGAGGAACAGTGGCTTAGCAGCTCAGAAACGCAACCAGGCTGCTTAGGGGGACCAATAGATGGGAAAATAACTTGCTGACCTGGTTCAGGACCTGCTTTTCTGGGACAACCTCTGGGTCCTGGTACCTGAATTTTAAAAGCCCTGATACATTTGTTTGTTTGTTTGTGTATTTACATGGCCTCCCATCTATCCAATGAAACAAGACTCCTATAAAAATCTCAATTCCCCCCAAATAACATTTACACACAGACATGCCAGACCTCCAATAAATTAACAGCCTGGCCCTAACGCACATGAAGACCACCTATCTGCTCTACTGTAAACCCACCTGCTCTAAAGACACTCCCCAGTTCTGAAATGTCTTCCCTGTCTCTGCTCTTTTTAGCACCAGGGAAATATCTTTTCATTGGCCTCTGGTTTTTAAGCTCTAGGTAGGTAAATCTGCTTTATGGCTCAACCACTTCAAGTATTATTTGATATTCTGCCCTTATTTCTAACACTGCAAGCTGCTTGAGACGTAGAAAGGTTTAGAAAGCTGCTACACAAATAAGTAATATTTGAAACTTTATGTTTAATTGCATTGTTTTACACTTACAGTAAGTAGATAAACAAAAGTAAAATAAAAACCAAAGATAAGCCAAGTTGTAAACTAAACAAAGTTCTCTGAATTACTCTAATAGAAAATACAAGGAGACTTGATTTATGCAGAAAGAACTTGATCTCTTCATATAAAGAAATGGACCTAGGCCAGAACTTATTATTTATTATAAGGCTTTTGAAGAATCTCTGAATATCAAAAAGGAAAGCTTTTCAGGAGGGAAAAAGGAGATGGGTGGGATTCTCTGTATTACTGTATTATGAACTCTTATCCTTCACATCATCCTTGGGTCACCACAGCAATCCCACATTTCTGTGCTTTTAGTTTGTGTAAAATCAACATCTACTCTGGCGCACGCTCATCTGCAACAAATCAAGAGTGGGTCAAAATGGCGATGCAGATAAAAAAGGGGTGGCCCTTTAATCACGCATTCAAGGCCACCATCTTGACTTTTTTGACTCCTTCCCCTGGGGATGCTCCTGGTGCAAATTCCACCTTTACATACTGACATCCTGGTGTCTCTTACAACTACATAAGGATACAGTTTGTGTCATGATGCATTATTTCCTCTCTCAACCCCTTTGTGGACCCCTTTGTTAGCTTCTAATTAATTCTTTTAATAAAGGTTGTGCCCTATTAAAAACTGTGGAATAGTACAGCTACCACTTTAAAGAAGTAACTAACAATATTTTCATTACACTCCTTAAGCTACCCACAGACATATGGATACTCTTATGTGATTAAACCAATTCCAAATTGACCGTATCTCTTTCAGTGCAGAATGATATATACAGATGATATAACTATTTTAGCATCAGTCCTAGAATACATAGCCAGGAATCGTTGATAACAGGGTAGCAGTACACAATACAGCATATTCCGTATTGAATGTCCAGTTCAGGAAATGGACAGGTTTACAAGTGGGATACTCTTCCAGGCTCAAGAACACTACTTTTGGCCGCCAACTGCTGATATATCAGAGATTAATATGTGAGACTACCCCGTACAGTGAGCTGAAACATTGACTAGCTTAGTGTCAGTCCTACAAGGTGAAGCAGACTAAGAAACCAATGCCATGTAGGGCAGGACTACTTTTACTGTAACAACTAAAGTACCAGAATCTTGCAAGTCAGAATGTGCATCCCCCCTTCCCTCACTTTATCTTCATGTGAACTAGGGAGTGGCTTGTCTGAGACGCTTTTACAAGTTATTTTCTTGGCCCGAACTCAAGCCCCTCTTATTTGACCACTGTCTTGGTAGCAGCTCTTCTCCTGTCCTTCAAGGCCATTCTCTATGTCCTCTACACCTACCTATTGAGAGACAAGGCACCCCCTGCTTTTGAAGGAGCATCCATGTGACATCATTTCCAAATTCCTCACTTTGGAAGGTTCTGCAGTCCCCAGTTACAATTCTGCCCAATAAGACAGAAGCAGGAGGTGGAAAGAGAGAGTAGGATTATCCAGAAATCAGTCTTCCAAAGAGAAACAAGCTATTACAGAAAAGGGATGTACCCAGATGAAACTTTTGATGCACAGCCATCTTGCTTCAAAAAACAATTTTTGTCTCAGGTGACTTCCTCTTCTAAAACCTTTTCCACCGCTCTTCCTTTTTGTGATATAGCAAAACACACATACACACACACACACACAAACCCAAAACTATTCACAAGAAAAAGAAAATCACTCCACTCTTCTGTTAGTTTGGCACAGTGAGTTAGGTTTCTCTCAAAACATAAACTCAAACTACACTGCCCTGAAAAACTGCCATCCCAGATAGGATCTCTGGGACAGTGTATTTTTCAAAGCCAAATTAATATATAATTTACACCTACCTTGAGGGAAATAATTTGGCTGAACTAAGCAGAGGAAAGCGTGGACAATGCGGAACAAAATCCCAATTGTTCCGGGCTCATAGTAAACGTTGGTGTCGTACGTCTTGCTGGGAACATACCCAAAATCCAGAGTTTCAGAAGGCAGTTGGGGCAAAGGCTGCCGTTCAGAAATTGTTCTCCCACAGAGCAGTAAAAGAAATAATAAATAAACTTCTCCAGCCATGGCTGACCAAACTCATAGACTGAGGCAGAAGGGAGGCAAAGAACACCCTTGAGATGAATATCTCTCCAGTGCTTTCCTGGGCACACACTTCAAAATTATTTTCTCGGAGCTCTTCATAGGAATCTGGCTAATAAAGAGAGAAAAGAGCTGTTTAACAGCTGTCATCTCACCCCTGGAAATCAGCAGACCCCCCCCCCCGCGCGGGGCGATCCTATTGGCTAGTTACTTTC